GGGGCAGTGCCCGGAGCGGGGCGGGGGGCGCGGGTGCCCCCAGGCGCGGTTGTGCCTTGGTTCTGGGAACCTTTCCTTGACGTCACGAGTTCAGGGGAGGGCAACTTCGCACCGTTTGGATCCTGATTTGTTTTGGAGTTGGGCACAACAAACAGGGAAGCTTTGTCATCCATCCAGAATAACCTTCTTTTCAGCTGAAAATGGATGGAAAAGAAATGCAAATCCCACAGTACTCATAATTAATATTTTTTTATTTATATCGGGAACAGATAGAGCTAGAACAAGTCATTTCATGCATATCTTCGGCATCATTTACTAAGGTTGTTTAACAAAACATGAATAAGAAAATAAAGCCACAAAAATAAATCTTTGCCATTTAAATATTGCGTAGGCCCCATATACCTTTTATTAAATGACATGTTCTTTATATATGACAGAAATACCAATTCTACTCAATGAGAGGCCACCATGTACAGTGGCTAATAAACCTTGCTGTCAGCTTGTGACAAAACACTGATCCTGGCCCCAAGAAGAGCTGTAAGGACATCTGCTACGTGGTCAGACATTTATTCCCACACCTGGCCAAGTGCTTGTCGGGTTACTAACCCCACAAAATCTGTCCAGTTAGGATGCTTAGTAACACATACAGCAGGCTACCAAACCCTCCTTTCATCTGTAGAGAATGTATCAAACAACAAACGGACCTGTCTGTGGGAGAAAAGAAAAAAGAAAGGAAAAAAGAGTGGGAGCAGAAGTAAGAGGGGACAGGGGTGGGATACAGCTTCAAAAATGGAATTAATTTCTGCCTTTTCCATGAGATCTCTGGTGTCTGGTGGCCAGAAAATGTGAAGCAAGTGAACCACATACAAGCATAAAAGTTTTCACTGAGCAAATAATTTTCTCCTCTTTTGTTTTTTTAATGGCTCCAGGAAGTTAGAATAGTGTCTATTTAAGCACATTGCATAAAAGGTTTGTTAGAAATGGCAGTCGCTATCCATTTCTAAGTGGCTGTGTTATTCCATGCAAGCTTGAGATGAAGACCAGTAAAGAGGATTCAGGCACTGTTGGAAAAGGCAGTGAGGACAAGAGAGTAATCCTATTGTAAAGGCACCAAAACTTATTGGAGTAATAGGGGCTCATCAGCCAAGACGTCTCCTGCTTAGGGAGAGCAAAACCTGCCACAGAACAAAATGGTAGAAGTTTTGTTGTGCCGGATGAAGAAGAGGAAGGGATGATCAGCAGTAAATTGTGGAACAATCATTGCACAGCGCAGCATCATCACCCCTGCTGTGGCAGCTGCGGCCTCAGTGCCTTCCTCATTGACTTCTATAAAGGACTTGTGAACCACTTCAGAGAGCACCAACTCGTTGCCAGAAGACATTCCTGAGAAGTCTGCTTTGATCGGGTCAAACACATCGGGCATTCCCATGCTGCCCAAAATGGGTTTCAGATCATAATTTTCTTCCAGTTTAAATCTGGGTAAAGACAGCCTCACCTCTGTGTAGTCCATCATTTCAGGTTTAATCCACTCCATCAG